CATATTTACTCGATATTTCTTTTTGTTTTACAATATTTAAAAGGTATTATAAGTATATGTAATGGTTCATTATGTTTAGAATTGTTTTCTGTGCACAGTGGGGATTTCCCCATGTATGATTATAGACAGTCAAATTGTGTTAATGAATTCGATTCGGAATACGCACGTACTATATCTGTATCGTAGATTTGACCTTCATCTTGAATTTCAGCTTACAATTGTCTGACAAGTCGATTTGAATAATGTTAACTCTTACTAGTTTTATAGATATTAATCTACATCAATTTCATTAAAATATGTTTTTATCTATATTTAGTTTTTTATATTAGACTGTTAGGTCGAGGAAATTATTAGGTTTCAGTTCGTTACTCTTATAAAGATTACTTGCTATAGTGAGTTCATTGGATCAATCAAAAGGCTTTATGTCTGTAACATTTAAGCAATTTGTGGGCCGACGGAAATCATCGTTGGTTCGTCTCGATGTGTCTATTTAAATATCAATAAGGCTTAATCACGCTTTGAGTCACGATGGAGATGTAATCAAAAATATTGTTCCGCCAAAACCTTTTGGTGTGCACGTCTCATTCCAAAAATCATAATAGGTAGAGTAGTAGAGACGTATTTTTAAAACACGTGCAGCATTTTAAAGCTTATTAAGCCCTGCTTAGTATTTAAGATAGTACACTGTTTTTGTTACATCATGAACGATTAATAATTTGAAGTATAAATAACAATTTGACTGAGATCTATTAATTCTGGAGGAAATTTTCTTTATTCGAAACGTTTATGTAAATATTGACATTGAAATTTATTCGAGCCTTGAAAGGAAAACATAACGTTGATGAATCTTCGACAGTGCCTAAGCGATTTTTGATGACCTTAGGTCTGCGCCGGTGGAATTAATGGTTTGTCTTCCCAGAGCCCTTAAAGAACCCAGTAATTTCCCGTGAATTGCGTTTACATTGTTGAGCGACCACTGGCTGGTAATTATTTTCCCTATAAAATGTCTCTTAAATGCTTAAGTGCGCGATTTAGGTAGGAACATGTCGTGACATTATCTTATCAACGCTTACGATCTTCGAGGTCGCAAACTTTCCCCCGTCATTGAAGGAGTCTGTGATGTCGACACGCATTTTCACTCGTAATAACACGGAAAAACGTTTCATGATGATACGGCAGCTGTAATGGTTAATGCATACGTATGTACGCAGTAATGTAAACCGTCACGCAAACTCGTGTAGCCGTTAACAATGTCTCGTGGTAAATTTTCCACTATAAGAAAATTGTTTGCCTACTCGTGAAACAATCCTTATCGCAAATTCATACCACAAGAAAGCATAGATAGGCAATATATAGTATGTAATATATAATAATAAATGTAATATATAATATAGGTATATTATATTTTTCAAGTAATTACAGATTGCACATGCATTGATAGAGGGACACGTTAAAGTATTTTTAAAAATTAAATGTTTCATTGGCTAATTTATAAATTCCTTTATCTGTCTTTGTACGCGTCACAACTCGCAACGTCAGTACTATTTCGCTCGGGCATTGCACGCAGTCGCAAAAAGGCGCCGGGGGGCCTCTATTCAGTCACAAGTCCACCGCTATCTCATCCATGGCGTATATCTGGCGCCTCTTAATTGCCACAGACTAATAATTATTATCAGTTCGCGTGCGCCGGCCCGCCCTCGCTCGTCGACTTCTCCGATACGCAGTAACCACTACAGGCGCGTTTGTCGCACACATACGCGCAAACACTAAGCACGTGCTCTAAATATCATTTAAAACACGGCCACGGGGGCAGCATCAAAGATCCACCACGGACTCTGAAATGCGTTACAAACGCATTCCGGGACGTACTCTAATTTCGGAAGATTTCGATGAAACAAATAACGCCCATCCGCATTGTGGACGATTCCATTATGGTGGCCGATTAAAACCGCGCGGTTTTCTTTAATGCTATTTACGTGTCTCGTGGAAATCTATGATTAAACACAACAAAAGCATTAGTGAGACACGCCATTAATTCCTTGGGTGAACAACCTCGTCTGCGCTCGCTGGCGCTTTGTCCGGAATAGCAATTATTGCTACGCGCGACCTGACTATGTTACCTTTAAACTTTTCTACTACGAATTCTAAGTAAAAACCGCAGCGGAATATTATAAATGGCCCTCGTCTCGATGTTATTTTTTACGTTGCACGAGTTTGAAATTTGATTAAAGAAGTAAGTAGTCCGTGACTGTGGCCACACTCCCCATTATCGACATTTCATTTAGTTATTACAACCAATAGCGGAAGTAGGAGTTAAAGGAAATATGTCGGTATTTAATATGATGACTATGAGACAGTCCGTCATATAACGAAGACTATCTTTAGCAATATAATAACTATATGTCTTCATCTTCTGGATATAATCGGTGTAGTAAATAGACTAAGCTCAGATTCACTGTTTAATCTTTTTACGGTACTGATAACCATAACTTGACTTGGTTTTAAATCTGGATATTTTGGTAGGATCTATTCAATTATTTTACTATCTAAATAGTTATTTGCATAACGAGCTATTAGATGACGTTAACGGTGTAAAATAGTAACTTTATACAGATACCCGTGAGTTCCTACTTATTATTGTTACAATCCATAGGGTTGGTTATATTTTCGGTTTACGCTTTCTTTAGTTTTATATAATCTTGCTTTGCTTTTTATATAATCTCGTGCAAATTACTATTATTATAATATCTTGTCATTGGGTTTATAATTATTTCTGTATTTTCATAGACACGTTGGATAACATTTGTATAATAATTTCTGGTATCGGTAGTCGGTCTACAAACTTTGAGTTCATTCACTGCATCTTAATAACTTAAAAAAACAGACCATATTGTGAATTCTGTGCTTATGAACTCCAATCTTTCTAACTCTAAACGGTGCTTTTATTCTTTTTAAGTTTGAATTTCAAAGTGACCTCCGATGATAAGCGATGATCGCTACCGGCAGACACACCAACACAAGAAACGCTGTAGGGGCGTGAATGGGCAGGTACGTCCGGGTTAGTACCACGACCTCACAGAAGACCGGCGTGACGTAGAAGTGTTACACTTCTGCGTTTCGTCTGGTGAGTAAGGTAGCCGGAGCCCACTTTAAAGATTATTAAAGATGGCAACGCATCTGCAACGGGTGTTGCAAATGTCCATGTGCGTCAGTTATCACTTAACATCTGGTGAACCGCCAGCTCGTTTGCCACTTTCTCACATAAAAATGAAATAAAAACAAGAAAAGGCCAACTGGACCCGCGAAACGGCCGCAGTACAGACCATGGGGTCAACCCCTAGACTTATTCTGCTACTGTCACTTATTTATATACTTATGCACCATTTCTATACCATTCACGTCGGTTGCTTCGTCGATACTTATTCAAACTAGCAACTGGGCAGTGTGCAACGCCGATACCGATTTATTGGATGTTTGCCCTCGCGTTATCGCGTCAAGCCTCCCCCGTCATCGCTCTGTACCTAATCTCGTGCCGAGGCAAACGGTGACGTGGTCCAACCGTTTCGGTACGAAGCAATTGCGCTAAACTCGCTTAGTCATTCCCTTTCTATGTTGCTCTATCACTGGCCTTGTTTATGGTGATTTTTTGGCTCACGTTTGCTGATACTAGGCTCGCTTAAAACTAATCTGCTCGCAATTGACTGCACGGTTTCGTAGATTACATTATATACATCATAACTTTTTTACCGCAAATGCCCTTTGGAAAGCTTTTTTTTATACTAACTGAAAATAAGAGGATTACTAATTATCATAGTATGGTAGGCATAACGTAAGCCTACCACATTATGTGAAAGTTTAAGCATTCATATCACTCAGTCTGTTCGTGTGCTTTAACTGCACGGGTTGGGTGAAATAAAAATAAATTATAATAAACTTTGAAAGCCGCTACTTAATGGGCTTCCCGGGATCCATTTTTCACCAGAAGCCATTTGTACCAATTTGTAAGGTGGTGAGTTTCCCGCTGCCTATATGAGTTAACGACAGTGAATAAATTGAATTAGTGTCAATGCAAATAAAAGAATTATATTTTGTTCCCCGGTTAATTAAATTGCCGCACGTATTCTGAATACGAACGCTTTATTATATTTCTACTGACGATACATACGAATGATAATAATAATAAGCAAATTATGTTATGAAATATCTTCCATTCATGTTGTTTGTTAGGGAAATGTACCGCACGACCGTTATCTTAGTTACCTAACAACCACTCACGATAATAAGAATATACTCGTACATTTAATTACATGCACTTTGTGTTGAGGGCATTCTAACGTGGCAATCATGCCACAAACAGAATTCGTCATCAGCTTGGACATCTCGCTGATGTAAGGCAAAGACTTGATAAGGTACTTTACGTTATCATCTCAACAACATTACAGCTAGTTGAGATTGTTTCCTGAATCTGGGTAAGGCTATATTTTACAAGAAATTATGACAACCGAATCGTACTCCAATAAGCAGGGCTTTTTTGGTGGTAACGCTAAAAGGCACTACCACGGGTAACCCCAAACACGGTACTAAATTGAGAACATTAACGGACGTTTTCAACATTCAATCTACGGATAGATTTGGTTACTGTAGATAGAATTTTGACGTGAGTATTATGTAGCTAATGTCATATATCTATTGCTAGTAACCAAATCTACAAATAGAATATTGAAACCAGCCGTTGGAGTGGACGTCCACTGTTACTTCTCATGTTATAATCGTAATGTTGCAATACTATTTCGTCGCCCATCAGATATCACCGATTAAAATTATTATTAAGTTCTCATTATGTTAATACAAATGAGTGCTGCGTACTTTGTATTACGTTGTTAAAATATTGTGTACGTACGATGTCAAATACCCATCGCTAGTAACCAAACCTATCTGTAGATAGAATATTGAAACTGGCTGTAAGGGCGTCGAAACTTTCCCCGAGCAACTGACACTTTATGCGCGCACGAGGCCTTAGTTGCATCCGCACGCGGCACAAATCCCCCCGGGGTCTAAGTGAGCTACGACGCCATCGCCACTTCGCCGGGGAAAAACCCGACGCTCGTAACGGCCGGGGTTTTGACGCGGCGCGATTACGCGACCGCCGGGTGCCAGAACGTCCCTCGGCGGTTTCTTCGGCCGCGCCAAAAGTCGCGGTCACTACCCATTGTTCTCGCTCCAAGGTGCCATTAGGCGTTCTCGACGACACCCCGGCCCACCGCGTCGCGCGCGGACCACACGTGCGCCCACATCTCATTAAATCAATCGATACGCCCTCACTAAAACGTTACGTTACAAACGCTATCGCGCTACTTTATCGCCGCGTGGACCGGTTGAATGGTAGCGCTTATTTCACCACTGCATCGGCTAGAACTAAATGGGCTCCGAGTTTCTAGCTTGTAGTAATTTTTATCAGACTATTGAAAGCTTTCACGTGTACGCGTGTTCGTACGTCAGTATTTATTTGTATTTTTTGGAGAGGTTTTGTTGTTGTAGGGTTTGAAGGATTTTAGTTTGAGATTCGTGCTTTTATCACGTTCAAATGTTTTATATGCTGTTCGGTTTAATGAATTTGATATTAGCAATGTGGTGGATTTCCATTATTAAAGAGATATCTTTACTAATATAGATGAAAACTCAGCTTTGATATATCAAATATTTATTTTTTTACCGTCTTATTCCTCCTTTATTGTATAACTTTGACCATACACATTTATTTAGATTTAGAACATCAAACAGTTCTATTCCAAAATAAAGGTAGGGGAAAATATAACTCTTTCATATTTTTTTATGGATACAGTCTAATCTTATCTATAGAAAGAATAAATAATGGAAAATACGTTAATGCAGAGAAGATAAAAAGGCCGCTACGAGCTCACAAAAAATAAATCTCAAAAGACAAGTTCCCCAGTATATTCCTAAATCAATTGGTTTCAGGCCATTACTACAAAGTTGACAGTAAGTCTTTTCATAGACAACCGACAGACGCATTCAAAGCACGTTATAAACACGTTAAAGTACGAAAAACGCTTTAAATTCCCTGTTATTTAGTGTTTTATTGTAACAATATGTTAAGTGAATAAAGCTAAGGTAATGTATGTGTAAAGTTCAAGCCAGTTTGATGTTCTTTGTGGGGTTCGCTTCCTTAACTGTAGCCGGAGGGCGTGACCTCTATCGTGACGTCACGCTACAGATGAATGAACACTCCTCTCCCCCCGCAACCCGCTTTTGTTCGGCCAAGGGTCGGCTTCACACATGCGATGTACTCGAATATCAGCTTCGACATCTGTTCCTTTTCTAGAATCCTTACATTGTACGGAAGTTTTTCCGGCAGTTAGATCAGTGAACTAAAAGAATGATGCGGCCGACCAAGACAGTATTTCGGTTCCATTATGTATATATATATATATATATATATAATTATGAAATGTACATGATCTTGAAAATCTTTGCTAACATATGCACGAAAACACTTAAGAAATAAAGATAACGATGCAGCATCTGGCTCAAGGATATGACCACGTTCGAAACATTAAATTGGTCTCACCCATACTGTTTTAAAACATATAGCAACAAGTACTTTTTGCACTAAAGACTTTTAAAAACAAATTTAAAAGTTTACATAAACGAATTCACATAAATTTCTCACGATTTTAAGATCTAATTTTGATATGTTATGGCTTGTGAATATGTATTATAATGACATGATTTCAAAAGCAAAGTTCTAAACTGAAATCAAAACAAAAAACTAAAATGGACGTAGGTAACTGCCAATTGGCAAAGTTCGATTCGCAATAAGAACAATAAGATTTCGATAATTTAATGGATCCTGAGCCAACTTAGCAATAATATTAGTTCTAATACGATCTAGAATTATCGCATTAGCAAAATAAATGTTTTCAAAACTAGTTTATCCAAAAATCCAAATGCGAATCTTTTTTCATGTCACTCACTGTATTTGTGTACAAAAACAAGAAAAAAATTTGTTTAAAAATGTTGTGAAATAATCTTGAAACTAGTAAATATTAAGTATATGTATTATATATTAGAAATATATTTATACCCATGTACTGCATACATTGTTTGCTTAACATAGACATTATAAATCAGACAACAGAGAACATGTTGTAAACCAGTGAACTTGTCCGACCGAATAGGATGGAGAGTGCAAAAAAGATGTACTCGCGATTAACAAAGCAAGTCCGGTCCATTTTATGGATGCAGCTACGCCCAAGGAGTGATCTGCCAGTACCGTATTTGGTTAGCGCTGACTCATCGTGCACGTCCATACAAGGCCCCTCCTAACTGTCTTCTTGCAAGGTCGCCGTTATGAAAAATAAAATCTACATCAGCGGATATTGAGGAGAGACGGATGATTGATTATTGTTCGGTCCCTCTTTTATGTAACGATTCTCTTGTAATGCCACGATTGTCTAACCTTTTGTTCGGCCTTTTGCGGGTTGTTGGTCTGTACTATAGAGCGTAACAATTACACTGCATTATATTAAAACAAACTCTTTTTTTTTAAATAATTTTTCGTAATAATTAGTGGTGCGCCGAATGTGGGATCAACCGAACTAAATGTACCAACTGAACTCTCAGTAGTTGTTACCGGTCATTTAGGTGGGTTGCGAGTATCGTACGCTCGGCCGTAAAAAGGTGCATTTGTATTGTTTTAACAAAAAAATTGGCAAGCGAACAGCGGTTCACTTTATGTGTTTAAGGGGGGCCCATGCACATCTACATTACCCGGTGGCTTGCAGATGCGTTGTCAACGTACTTAAAATAATAATAATTTTGTCAAATTGTGAATACTGGCTCTTAGCGAAAGTGCACTTATATTATATTTACATTATAAATTAAGTAAAACTTAATTTTAATCTAGAATTACTTATATTTTACTTTTGAGGAGGGGTGCAATCATGACGTAATTTCTTCTTAATTGTTGATTTTGTAAAAAAGCAACAAATTATTTAAAATAAAAACCTAGATTATATTGATTTTTTATTTAGTTAATAACGATGGTTCCAAAAGTTTTGTGTTAACTCATTGGCCGGAATTTGTATCAGAACATAAAAAATACTACGAAAATACCAAAAACTCGACCGAATATCCTTTATATTATATTTATTTATCTATTATGTTAAAAAACCACATTCGTAAACAGTAGTATTAGCTCAATGATTTTTTATTTCTAGATTTACGTTAAACAAAACTTTTTTTACTATGAATAAAAGCATGCCATTAAAATGTTAAATGAATTTAGTCCATCTACCACGACTATATCTGTCCCACTGCTGGGCAAAGGCATCCTCTATACAAATTGTATTAGAGCATAGCCTACCACGCGGCCTCTCTTTAGATTGGCGGTCTTATATTCGAAATATATTTTTTTATTATTGTGTTTGGTTTTCTTATGATATTTTCCTTCACTGCTAAGAACGTGGTAAGTTAATATTAAAATATATGGAATTAACTTAAAGTTTTAATAGAACACACTTTAATAACTCTAATTAAATAGTTACATTAATTCTCATAACTAAATAGTTATAAAATTTAAACATAAGGCATTACGCATATTCCCTTCAATAAATATAAAAATTATAAGTTAACAGTTCACAATTAAATGTTCTCACAGATTAATAGTAAATGCACATGGTTCCTAATATTTGAGTGGATTTTTTACATATGTTTTCATTTGTACATATCACATATGTTATGTGTGAAGTTAATAAAATGTAAAACACCCTAATAAAAAAGTGACTTTTGTATATGGTTACAACAATCACGTTTTTTACATTATTATACACATTAAGCCTACATTGTTTTTGTTACTCAGGTACCGGAAACGCGATAAGGTCATCCTTGCATGGGTACCCGATGATATGCAAGCATATGTGTTTTGTGTTTAAATATGAATGTTCGCCGCCTTGACCTTCCATAGCCGGTCTCTGACCGCATGCTAAGTAGCCGGCGATCAATGATGCTCTTTCCCATTTACAAAGCTCACTGGCAAGCCTGGCTTTGAGAAGTCCTTGTTACCTATATCATCATGATTTTAGTAACGATATAAACAAGTATAATTTTTAACAAACAAAAACCGACTTCAATCAGAAAATTAAAGACATTGTTAATACCTATAACATTCAATGATGGCCCTATATTTCTCTGGGATGCAATCATCAGATCCGGGTTTCCTTATCATGGTACTACCATTGGGATATCTCCTTTCCGAAAAAAAAAGAATCATCAAAATCGGTTCATAAACGACGAAGTTATCCGCGAACACACATAAAAAAAATAAAAATATATACGGTCGAATTGCGAAACCTCCTCCTTTTTTGAAGTCAGTTAAAAAGGAGCATAAAGCATCGAAAACAGTGTATCGTTGGTTAGGGGGTGTGTACAAAAGCAATATATTAGAGTGACACGGAAAGCATTTAAAGTATAAAGTATCTGAAATATTAGACTCAAAAATCTCATCTTCATACACTTGAAACGTGCGTGATTCGTATTTGTGAGTCAGATTCGTCCCAAGCACTACCTTTACGAAAGTTCTTAGTACTTTGGACAAGCGGAACCGGTTTCGCTTTTGTAATTCAAGAAAAAAATCTTAAACGCAAATCAAAACTGTCTGGGGCAGGAACAAAGGTATCGAGTTAACGGATGACGAATTGATTCCACAGATTTCCGGAAAACTGGACCCGTTCAAATCACATTAAAGATTTGGCATAGCGTCGATTCTTTGTATTTGATCTCAGTCAGAGTATGAACGTTTTATTGATCATGCCCGCGCAGTAGTGACACATTGACACAGACTTCCACTTTCATATTATAACGGCACTCCGCAAAAAAGCCGACGCCGTACTTTGTTTCGCTCTCAAATGGTTATATGCAGCGGATGCGATGATTATCGATCCCTGAATAGGCGCTCTTTCAAGCCTAATTTCTGTTCGAATTGCTTAGATCGTCACCAATTAAGTTATTCCTTCGGGTCGGGTTTTGTACTACAATTTTTTGTTTTCTTTTCTTTGCAGTTACGTATGTGCGGGGCTACGCCCGTGTAGTCTTTGGCTGGCGTTGCGATGGCGACGGATGACGTTTGTTTAGTGTTGGTTCTTTGTGATTAGTGCTTGTGAGTCGTCGCGCCCGAGTCACGGACTTGTGCCAGTGTTGTTGCCATTAAATTGGTGCCAGTGATGTGACATTCTATGGAAATATCGGGGCTTACTCGGAATGTTCACGAAGCACGGCAAGGCCCCTGAGCGGTGCCACCACATCCAATCGCATAGGAGCTGCAAGAAGAAAAAGCCTCCTCCACACACGCCGTGGAAGTACTTGATGAATTGCCCACTCGTTAGAAAATGTTTTGGTATAGTATTTCTTTTTTTTT